CATGTGTACCTTTTCTATATCTGCAGAGTGTGTATGTATGCCGCAAGTCTAGCCGTGCTGAATGTTTTCAGGCTTTCTTCAAGATCCGACATGACACAAGACATTTGGAAAACAGTAGCCAACCACTGTATGTTTCCATTCATATTGAGGGCCGCTTCACCACGCCACATGACAATGGCCCAAAACATTCCGACAGTGCATCCAAGGATCTCATTAGTGGAAAAAAAGTGGAAAATCTTAGACTGGTTAAGTCAATCTTCAGAGTGAAATCCAAATGGGCAACATTTTACATGCTGAAGCAAAAAATGCATGTAATAAGAAAAGGCATCAACCCAAAGTAGCTGAAGCAAAGCATTTTAAATGACCACACAAAGCATTTGATGAGCTCAGCGGGTCACAGATTTCATGCAGTTATTGTCTCAAAGGGATCTGCAACCAGATACTGACTTTTATACAAACAACTAATAGGTTTATTCCATGCTGAAAAGAGAAGAAAGAAACCACAACGTTTTGGCTGTGGAGCCTTCTTCGCATGATCCGAAGAAGACTCCACAGCCGAAACATTGTGTTATCTCTTTTCAGTTTGAAATAAACCTATAACTTGGTCCTTTGCAGCCTACGCATGCTGACGCAGCAACCCACCTGAACTGACTTTTATACTCTGCTTAAAGCGATTCTGTCCCAATGATCTAATATCTGTTCTATTATAATCTAATATGATAAAATGTATGGGTGTAGTTACCCAGAAATAAAACATATGTTGTACTTATCATTAAGATAATTCTCATGATAACAAATGCAAATGATGGGTGTTACTGTATATGTTAGGCATTATAATTTAGGTGTTATGGAAAGACTTAGGTCTTTATCTTCATGCATCTAGACAATGTGGAGAAACAAAGACAAATAAAAATTTTAGGATATATACAGTAGTTAAATTAATAAAATTTATATCAAGGGGGTGTTGTGTTAAAATTGTATAATGCACTAATAAGGCCAATCTAGAATATGGCCTACAATTTTGGTCACCATGTAATAGAAAAGATATGGTTGCACTAGAATCAGTCCAGAGAAATGCAAACAGACACATTCCAGGGCTTAAAGGAATGTCCTATGCTGACAGGCTGAAGGAGCTGAACCTTTGTAGTGATAAACAACGAAGATGACCAGGGCACTTGATCCAGGTTACCCAATCATGGTGTTGAAGCTGATACCCCGAGACTTTCTTCAAGAAGCGGCTGGACAGGAGTCTCACACTAGTTAACTGCTACCGCCCACAACGACCAGAGGAGACAAAGGGCCTCCTGTTCTTTCATTATTCTGCAACTGCCTGACCTTAAAGCTAAAGTAAAAAGCACCAATACCTTTTGAAGCATACTTTATCTCTATTCCCCCGTTTGACAAGACTTTTCGCATTTAAATTCTTTGGTCCCCTTTTCCAAAAAAACGTTGATTACACACAGAAAGTCTAGATGCCCATCAAGAGCTTTCAACAATGTATCAATTAAGTAAAACCATTAAAAAATAGTATTGATTATATGAATAGTATTACCAACAATGGAGAGGAGACATGGTTTGCTTTGCTGCCTCTCAGTGCTCGGGCCCTTTGTATGGTGTCCTCGTGTTCCTGTACTGTTGGTTTCCTCCCACAGTCCGAAGCAATACTGGTAGATTAATTGGCTTCTGTTGAATCTGGCCCTGGAGTGTGTGTGTCTATGTCTGTGTGTGCCCTGCAATGGACTGGTGTCCCATCCAGGGTGTATCCTGCCCTGTGTCTGTTGCTTGCTGGGATAGGCTGAGGCTCCCCCATGACCCTGTATTGGATAAAGTGGTTAGAAGATGGATTTATACTGAAAATTGCTGACTTCAAAGTTCTAAATTATTCATGCCCCATACGTAAAAACAAACATACCGTGTGTATCTCTGTACAAACAAAGACTTCGCACCTCATCATGGGTAAAGTGCCAAGAGATCGAAGGTAAAAGATTATCTACGACAAAAAGCTCTAGTAATGATTTTGACTGTGGTGTCCGTTAATCAGGAAGTTAAAGACTAATTGAAGTGTTGCTACTCCTTCAGAAAGAGGACAGTCACATATAACTCCAAAGGTGCCAAACGAATTGCGATTTGGGACAGTAACTCAATAGTCGCAGCAAGTGGGAATCATAAAAACTCTGGTATCATTAGGATGCAATGTCTCCAAAAACATCCTCAAAAGGGCATGGCCCACTCCCACAGCAACTTTAAAAGAAACAGCATGAATTTTCCAAAGAGCAAGCGATTTGAATCCAGATCAAGTAGGACCGCGTAATACAGCTGGGTGAAACACCCTGAGCTTGTGTTGTCCAAGAGTGTACTTACTTCAAGAATGTTTTCAGAATGTATGAAGAATGGAGGTCAGTCTTCAGCATTCGCAGGTCCTAGCACTCACGTCTGGTCACAGGTCTTGACTGGATCTCTAGAACTCCCACCAAAAGAACATTTGTGGTATAAACTAGAGAAGACAGCTCACAAGTGCAAGCTGCAAGACCTGAAGGAGCTGGAAGCAAAAATCCCCACCAAAAGTGACAGAGTTACTAGTTGGTTATTTCAAGCACCTTCTGTATGTTAACAACCCAAAGGAGGGTGAAGAAAATACTACTGAGGCGAAATGGTTTTAAACATCATCTGTTTAAGCAAATATTTTGGACAGAACTGTGTGTGTGACAACCTTACACTGATATTCTGACAGTTTCTCAGGTTGTCATTTATACAGCAACCACATGTGCACTTGCAAATGTCAGTAAGGAGAAAAAACAATGATGGACAATGCTCTCTTGTACTGTGATATAATGAACAGTACAAGATGTTCCTTTTTTTAAATGCTTTTAGTGAATGAAAGTATCAATATAATTTGTGCTCCCTGCTGTTTAAGCTTTTCTCTTACATTTAAGCTTCTTTCGAAATTCTCTTATGGAATTTAAAATCCGTGGAATCTGCACTAGATTGCATCTGCTTTTCTTATCATTTCCCACCTTGTAGGAAATATTTGTTGTTTTCCTTTCAGAAACTGAATGGCCACATCTGACGTAGGATTTCATGTACTTGATTTCAAATGTACATTTCAGAACTTAGGCAGGCATACTTTGATGTTTACTCCATGCACCAATTACATCGCTTGTATTGATCATGCATGGTCCCTTTGGGATGTGTAATCATGAATACTCCAGTATACTATTTCACACCTGCTGACTGCAAAAACCACTACAGATATCCCTCATGTGCTCAGTAGCTGGGAATACAAATAGCCTAAATACATGAGTCTCAGGTTTTGTAGCAAATTTTTCCAAACTCTGTTCTTTCATTAATCATTTAAAAGTTAACAACAATCCACAATCCGAAAGTCTGATGCAAAACCCCTACTTTTGTTAAATACGGCTATTGAAAATTTGTATTGTTGTTCTTGCAAATCGTCAGCGCTGGGTGGCGCCATTTCTCTGTAGAATGCAGAAAACTTTTATTTTTGTTGCTTTTCATTATCCTGTTCTCACACACTGCCACCGACCAAAAATAAAAACAGTGTAGTTGCACTATCAGATATATGATTTGGATACTGCCATGACGGAGGTATCTAAGAGTTTTCTTAAATGGGTCTAAGTCATGTAAGTCCGAGTTCTTCAAAGGACACATTCACTTTATCATACACACAGGTCGCCACTATATAGGAGAATGTGTTCTTAATTTGACTTACCTGGTTAAACAGAGATAATACTGTATTGTTAATAATTATTATCAATAATAATAGTATCAATAAAAATAGTATTATTTGTTAATAATATCGTATCACCGCTGTTGTTATTATTAATAATAACACGGACAAATTATTATTTTGTTAACAGCATGATTTACACATACCCTGTTAAAGTACAAATCACTTTTGTCAGCTCTTCTATATTCGTATGGGTATTTTTCTTATTTTGTGGAAGCAGGGTCCCACTTATACACAGCACACAATATTAAATCTGCGCTGGTGTCATTGATTCACACTTAGAAGACTTCCTCACAGTGCCTGACTTGAATTAACGACGCGAAACGCGGTCGTGCTGTTTCAATGTTTCCTACCTGTATGAGCATATATTTTTAAGATGTTTTCGTTTATATTTTGGAACGATTTTGGTAAATAGATTAATTCATTTGTACATTTGCGAACTGTTTACTGTATGTTTTTCATGTAACTGCAGACATTCCAGTTACAGGAATGTTGACGGTCAGTATTTTACATTTGGTGTCAAATCCCACGACACGTCATGGTTAAAAGGTTCAGGGAAGTATACGTTCAGTCATCATTCATTCTTCCCTAAAATCAGACCATTAAGAAACTTTTAAAAACCACTTAAACGTCTTTTGTTTTACGTTCATGCTCACTGCCCTAGTTTTGACCTTTTATAAATTCTGAAAAACAGACTAAAATCAGAATCACACATTCTATTTTTTTCCAATTAGTTTTGAAGCGGAGAAGATCCTCTTGTCGGAGTCACAATTTTGTATTTTGGAAATCTGGCTCGTCCATCGGCTATTTTAACGGCAGTGTAAGGAAGAGAGTATTCCTTATGTTTTAGAAAAGACGTTCTGCAAAATTCAAAGTGTGCTATTAGCTCTCCCGTGTTTCAGAGATAAATGCTGACTTCGTCTAAGTGATAGGTCGTAAACCAGCGTTTAATATTTATTAGTAAATTTGTTTGTTTAAATCGGTAGTGTAAATTGTTTATTTGGGTTTTGTGGTAATTGCTGTCCATCATCTTAATATTCCAGTTTATGATGTGACAGAAGACACAGTGCTGTTAGTGTACCAAGAATTGTAGTAGTAGCAGAGCTTTGTTGTGCGAAACTGGTCGGACGAGTTGGGGTGTAACTACTGTCTGGATTCTCTGACCAATGGAGCCGGATCCACCCCGCAGTGCGTAAGAGCGCAATTAAGGATTTAACCAAGCCTATGCTGCACTGCAGGCAGCAGTCTGGAAGAGAGACCGTCAACTACAACGCGAGCAATGTCAGTCTAGACTCCACAGCTCTTGGCTGCACTTTCCAAGTTCCCCCGAGCTGCGCTCCTCGAACTATGACTGGAGTATTCGACAGAAGAGTTCCAAGCATAAGATCTTCCGATTTCCAGAGCCCTTTTCAACATCACGCGATGCATCATCCCTCTCAGGAGTCTCCAACTTTACCCGAGTCTTCAGCTACGGATTCGGGGTACTACAGCCCCGCTGGGGGGGTCCACCATGGTTATTGTTCGCCTAGCTCCACTTCGTATGGAAAAGCGCTTAATGCCTACCAATATCAATATCATGGAGTGAATGGATCTGCTGGAAATTACCCCGCTAAATCATATCCAGATTATTCATATACCAGCGCTGCTTACCACCAATACGCCGGAACGTACAGCAGGGTACAAGCACAGTCTAGTCCACAAGGTAAGTTTCTTCGACGCTGCTGCACCTAGGCGCATCGGGTACATTCGCTACAGTAACGCACTTCGTACAAACGGTCAATTTACAGTTTCACCTTCTCTTTTCCGTTGGGTCACTGGTAGGTTTTATCGTTTGAATGTGTTTAAATTTCTTCGGTGCGACAAAAAAAATGGCTTTTTAACGCGCAGCACAAAAAATACGATGGTGTGTTTTCCCGGAGCTATAACAAGGGAAAAGGTCTGGTACACAAATACATTTAACAGAGAATACATTATAAAATGCCGTCACAGGGTTGGAGATGCGTAAGCTTAAACTCTTAAACTCTCAACAAATAAGAAAAGATCATTGTTAAAATCTCATTACATTTAATACTGTCATTATAGGTACATTTTCATTTCGGGTCATTTACGCTTTAATTTACAAGGTCTAGTCATTTTGCAAAATATGAAACTGAAAAATAATTCATTTTAACTGATTTTTCTAATTCTGTTTCTATTTGAGTATGTCTGACAACATTATTCTCAGTTCTAGTGTTTAATTTTCAATTATGCCAGAATCCTACATCCACGAACACTAATTGCTTGTGAAGCCTGTCTGGAAGAAAGTGTGTCTCTTGGTGCCCTCTAAAAGGGGTTAATGTCACACCTTTATCAATGATTACAACGCAAAAGACCTTTTGTGCTCATAACATTCGTGATGCGAATCGTCAGTCATCGCAGAACTGTGATAATTTTGTGTGTAATTTCTTCCCGCCTATCCATTTTACTTATATCTTGAACACACGCCCGGTCATTTTCTGTTTGTTTGGTAGCCGCTGCATTTGCCTTTTGAGTTTGTATTTTTAATTCGACTTTATTTTGAATTTTCTTAGCTGTTACGTTTTGATTAAACCGCGTGGCTGTCCGTCTTTCAATCATTTGTCCGCCGTTTCTTAAATGTGGAATTCCTTTTTTATTCTAAAAAAAAGTGTGTGGGGGGGGCGATTTTTCTCCTTCTCCTAGAGAAAGAAGTGCCAGAGCCCGAAGTGAGGATGGTAAACGGAAAGCCGAAGAAAGTCCGGAAGCCCAGGACGATCTACTCCAGCTTCCAGCTCGCCGCGCTGCAGCGGAGGTTTCAGAACACCCAGTACCTCGCGCTGCCGGAGAGAGCCGAGCTGGCGGCCTCGCTCGGACTCACCCAGACACAGGTACACCCTCGGCGGCGGTGGCGCCTCTGATAGTTCAAAAAATAATCCTAAACATAAATCAGCGCGTCGCTTTCTGTGTTATTTGAAGTCTTTGTTGTCGTTAATTGTTTTTTTTTTTTATTTGGAAAATGATTTACTGCGATCTGGTGATGCGCTTGGTAGAAAAGGGGGCATTTTTATAAACTGGAATTTGGAGCTAAAATGAAAGTTTTATAGAATGCACGGCTCATAGGCGCCGCATAGAGCTGCGGAGATTGTTATCCTTGCCTCGGATAACCCTAGCTTTCCTGCTTGATTGTTCCGTTCCAATTGATATGATTAACAGTTCCCGAAGACGCCGTCGCTGCAGCAAATAAAAGCTATATTTTTTTTGTTTTTTTTTTGGTTAAGGTCCCTTATTTCGACCAGTCCTTATCATCACGCAAATAAATTTAGTGTTAAACGACGTTGTATTTCTATAGCTCTGCATGGATGTAAAACTAGGTTATAATTTGAAACCTTAAAGACAATTGCGCATAACACTGAAGATGAGAATTCCATATTGTATTGTATTCCATATTCATTTTGCAGTTTCTGGATAATCACTGGTAACTATTTGTAAAGCGGTACCTGAGCTGACGTGCGGATAGGCTCCATGTTGCCTTTGCCTCGACATGAACCGATTGCTGCACGCCTTTTTCCCCGCAGGTGAAAATCTGGTTCCAAAACAAGAGGTCAAAGCTGAAGAAGATCATGAAGAACGGAGAGCTTCCCCCGGAACACAGTCCGAGTTCGAGCGACCCAATGGCGTGCAATTCTCCCCAGTCCCCCGCTGTGTGGGACGCCCAGGGCGCCACCAGGCCCCATAATCCGCACTCCCATCAACAAAACACGAATACGGCGACCTCAAACTTTTTGGAAAACCCTAGCTCTTGGTACTCTGCGTCTGGCGCTATCAATTCTCACCTGCAGCCCTCCAACTCTATACAGCACTCACTGGTTCTTGGGGCAGGGACGCTATATTAAAGCGCTGTTTAAAAAACATATTTAACTGTATTGGACTTGCGTTTTAACTATAAAAGGAATATGCAAAATATCAATGTGTCGGTATTAGAAGAACGTGTATAATGTGTAAAAATGTGTGCATGTAATTTATTGCATTTTGGAAGAGAAATGAAGCATATTTTTCACTAAAGGACTTCACTGCAGCTCTAGACACTATCAATGGTGCCTTGAATTTTGACCTCAATGCTAACCGGACACTTTCCCCCCGTATATCATGATACTGTACATAATTGTAGATAGAGGGATTTAAACTGTATATTCTGGTTAAATAAAACTAAGACCTTCTGAGAATATATTCAAAATGTTTTCATATTCGTGATTATTTAATTAAAATGAGCATGGTTAGTTAAACATCTGTCTAATTCTTTGCTTTATAGAACAAAATACTCGGGTGAATGAAAATAAGTATCAAAAGCAGACGGATGTTCAGCATTGTGTGATAGTGATTATAGGAAATAAACACACTGACCCGTGGCTTACAAACAAAAAAGATCGACGACTTTGATGAAGAATTAACAAACACGTTGTTTTAACATGCGAGATTTGTGCTTTATTAACAAGACAGAGGAGATCACACCTAAAGATGATAACAACAATTATATGAATAATTACCTTCTGATGTGCTTCTTTGACCGATCGTAACATTCTGTAGAGTGTACCTCTGGTCGGTTAAATAGAGGGTTCCCTTCAAAAAAACAGTTGTTTGGTTTTACAATAGGCTGTGCGCCACAGGATATGGCGAATCAAGTTAAGCATGAAATAGGTTAGCCTATATTTTTCCACACAACTATTGTATGAAATATAGCATAAAACACATTTCTGTGGTTTACACAGGAAAAAAAAGATGTTCTGTTCTGTTCAAAGATGTAGGAAACTTTGTAGGCCGCGTTTCTTTTTATATAATAGTAAGAAAAATGCTAGACGTGGTTTGAAAAAAAGCACTATCTATGGTCTCCCCCAGTAGTTTACTGTAAATAGAGTAACATAAACTGCAGCATTCGCAAAACAAAGGATGATTGAGCACTAGGCCTGAAGAATGTTCTTCGGGAGCTTATTAGCATAGCTATACAATGCCTTAAGTGTTTATAAATATGCAAGTTTTAATAATAGAAAATCCAATATGACATACGATCGGTAGGTCTTCTATTTTGTCCTTTTGCCTTACGCATCTTAAAAACGAAAATTTAAGTAGGCCTAAAGGGAACATAGCTTTTTTGGTGGCAAATAAAATATATCCCAGTCTAATTCGATTTTTTTATGGCTCGCTGCAATTCACTGTATCCATTCTTAATTGATGCACGAGTACAGTGTTTGGTAGTGGCATATAGCCCGGATTGTTTTATCATTGAGTAGTTTGTTGCACTTTTCTGATTATGTCCAGTGGCCTACATACGGTTTCAGATTTCCGTGGTGCTACAAGAGCGTATTTAAAATCTGATTTTTGGTTTTGGTTTTGTCCTTTCACTGCACTTTATACAAAGGACAACTTTCGGTGTTCAGTGTATTTTGCTTACGTTTCTTTTGGCAGAACGACCAAAACAAACAGTTTTTTTTTAGATTTTTATGCTCGTGTTTCTACAGTCATAATACACGTTCCCCGTTTTTAAATGGAGAAACGGTTTTAATATTTTCATGCACAGTATTTTTCTCCCCCTGAATGAATCTGGGTGTCGCTTTGGCTGGCCGGTTTTCGCCTTCCTCTTTGTGTCTCTCTACAATTACTGGCTTTGAAAGGCAGAGAGGAGGCGAAGGGGCGGTACGCAGATCTGAAGCAGCCCGCATTCCTGTGGGGGCAGACCGGCTCCGGCGCTCCGCCACTCCCGGCCACAGCCCACCTTCAGGAAACGCACACATACTGTGCTGGGATAATCTTCTAAAATTAAATGGCTTGAATTGCGCTGAGTCGCCAATGACAGGGACCACGATAGTCATGATGGCGAATAGGGTGATAGTAATTCTTGTTAGCAGCTATGCAAACTACTGCAGCTTGAATATTAAAAAAAGCGACTATAACGTCGCCTTAGCAATCACTGTTAGCTGTAGAGACCAATGTATAAATACATATATCGGCCGTTATATGCATTTCTACATTAAATCTCAGCCTGGATTCTACAGTATACGATTTCCGAACTATTCTACAGAGTTGTGGCGATTTCATCTTAAATAGTCTCTGGGTTACAAATTTGAATGCAGACTCACTGACTGCAGAAGGAGATTTTTTTTTTTACATCAAACCAGCTCAGTTCTCTTTTCTCGCTACTACCTTCATGCCGCGAGTCCCTCAAGGCGGTACAACATGAAGAATTTCATATGATGTCTTTGTTAAGGAGCCACAGAAACATATAGCCCAGGACGTCTTTGTTTTGATTTCTTAAATTCCAGAATAAGATTTGCATTACTTGAGTTTAAACCCTGCGCATTAGTTTTATCTGCGATAAACCTGAAATATAAAAAAGATGAATATATATTAAATATACATCTTTAATTTATCAATGGTAGTTTTATCAGGAAACTAAAAATGACAAGTTATCTGTCTGTGAACTATCTAACTATATTCGATTTATAAAAGGAACACGTTTATAACTTAAATACATAACAATAGTCTATTTAAATATTAATTTTGGATAGGAAGATTATTTTTTTACAAAGTCCTGAACACCACCCTAATCCCATGAAATTTTCTGAAATTGTCATTTCTAATTCAGATATTTTTTGTCAATCACTACGGGGTAGGCTACTCAATTAATTCAAACGCACCTTAGTCCCCAGCAGTGCGACATTACTGCTCTATTCCACGTTTAGATCTGTCTGACATTTAAACAAAGGTGCTGCGGCATTGCGAATATATTTAGATGCAGGATTGATTTTTCTCCTCCCGAGATTTGTTTTCGGGCTTCGCACATTATCTCTTCATGTTATATTAATTTTAGGAAAGGCCATTCAACAGAAATATTTACGCACTTATTGGCGGGGCCTTAAAATGACTAAATGGCATTTTTCTTCCTTGCTGACTTCAGGGCTTAATGATGGCACAGAACTATATTGATATACAGTATAACTTAGAATGCAAAAAAATAAAGTTTGGATAAGAAGATGTAAATTAATCTGGGGACGGAGTATCTAACGTACTGCAGGAGTTCACACCCTCAAAGAACACAGCTTTGTTTTATCTTCGCGTCTTCTGATTTTAATATTTCAAGAGGTGCAAAACAGTGTAAAAAATGTGGTCGTTTTGATATGATCGCTCCAGTTCGTATTTCACTTTTTATTTCTTTCCCCCAGTCCTCCACCATTACCTATTGAGTGCCCCGTTAAATTACAATTGTACATTTTCCACTCAGCAAGTCCATCTGCACGGAAAAATAGAGTCGAAATAATGGCCGCGTTAGCGCTACTGGACAGCTTCTGCTGTAACACTCAACAATAATTATACTTCCGCCTGGATTAGGATTCCATTATCATAATCTGGACATTTACAATTATCTATAATTTGCAAAGATGCGCCAGGTCTTGATTACAGAAGGCTTTTTTTATGAAACTCACCATCACTAAACAGTGACAGTAATAACAGCTAATTTTGCTGGCGATATAAGAGGTACTGGGGTGTGCAAACACTTTCACACCTGGATGTGCTCACTCAACCAAGAGTTGTATGCAGCGAGAGAACCGATTTTGTTGCAAAATGTTCAGTTCTGCTCCTTTCCTGTTAGTTCGAGGCAGCTTGTTTAAAAAGACATTGACCTAAGGTAAGTCTATCTGATTCTTAATGTTGTTCTTGTATTTAACGTTTTTGAGACAACTTTCTGTAGCGGCTATTTCATTTTTAAGTTAAATTTACGCTCTCTCTCTCTGTAATGCCTCGTATATTGTCTATGGCGAATCGCACGATTTTGTTTTGTTCAAAATCATTAAAAAAAGAAGTCTACACATTTATGATTCTCTGTTCTACACAATCAGTACTACGCATGTTTCTAAGCACCCTCTGGATGAATTGTTTTTGCGGGGAACGTAAAGTTATGATGAACCACGTCGAGAAAAATAAATGAAATTGTGAAGAAACGTTCAATTTAATATGGACAATTTTTCGTCCTTTGTAATTCCCTTAGCTAGTAATTTGAGATTACTGTCGGTAATGGAATGCAAAAGGAAAACGTAAGATGTTCCTTAGTTAAAACTGATAGGCTCACTAAATAATAATTATAATCTAACCTGATTATCTTTTTATTAATATAAAGCCGTATATTGCTTCTGTGTGCTTCTTTATACAGAGTAGCACAGACCCATTTTAGTACCCACGATTTTAAATTACGTGTTTGCATCATGCTAAACGTAATATCTGTGCAGATGCTATTTTACTGTTCATATGGTCTGTCAGGCTCTGTAAAATAACATTCTTTCTTTTGTTCGCTCTGAGATGGAAAAGCGAATAGCTCTTGTCTGTACATTTCTTCCTGAAATACAGATTAAATGGCTAAAAAATATTGATCCATGTGACATTAACAAAAAATGTAGGTCCCTTTTATGACATTTAACCAAGCAAATGGCTGCTAAAATATTAAAACAGATATTACTCATGTTAAAACGAATTGTAATACACTGCAAAAAAATGAGTTATACAAATGAACACGGTATGTCAGAATATTTCTCCCACTGGCACAAAAAAATCAAACTATAAATTAAGAATTATAATTTAAAAAAACTGTCAGTATGATATAAGAAATGCAAAAGGCCTCCTAAAGGGAGTTCGTGAGAATAAAATATTTTTCGGTATTAAGGTGCTCTTGTCTCTGTACAGTTCTGAACAATTATTTAATAGGCTAAATAAACTATAAATACAGCGCCGTGGTCTGACAGCTGCAGTAGTTAAAGGCTATTCTCATTTTCCTTTCAGCGTTGTAATTTCAGATCATTTCCTCTACATTTGTAGGACCCTCGTCTCTGCAATTTGTGTATGAATAACAGAATAATTTTTCTCTTTTGTTTCGTCTTTGCTACCTCGGATCCAAATAAAGATGGCTTTTAGTATTAAAAGTGGTAGAAAATTACAGGTAATTATCTTTGACGGTAAAAACGCTGTAATCAGCGGGCTACATCAAAAATTACCCTAATTATGCCTGCATTTATGAGAATGAAAAAAAAACTTCTCGTGGATAAAAACCATAAATTGTCCCAAATATCTGCTTCAGATTGGAGGGGACTGCAGCTGGATGCTTTGTTCAGAATTGATCCTGTGGTGCTTGGCATTCAATGTTTCACAGTGAGAGGAAAAAAGAGAACAGAAAAACATTTTGTCAATACTGCAATAAGTGTACTAGAAAATGACAAGATTGACTGGACACGAAGCAGCAAAAATTTTAACAGAGGATTAGTATAGATGGGAGAACAGCGAGCTTGGGTAAGTCCGTTTTCCTTTGTCCCTAATTAGTGTGATTATCATTCATGTAACGATCTTTAAACCAGTGACACTACAAAGGGATTTGTTTGTCTCCGTGTGTTATTCTATACAGCCGACTGTTGTACTTCTGTTGGACAGCCCGGGCTATCGATCTTTGTATATCTGAAACTATCGATAGCAAAACGCGCGCGTTTGAGTGGACAAAGCCGGAAGTTGCTTTTCAAAGCGTGCACTTGCATGGTGCATCCGCAGAAAAACCGTCCTTTTCCAGAAGTCAGGTGTAAGACATAATGGCTGCTCCTTACTGTGTGTGTTTCAGAGACAATTATCATTTTTAAAATCAGTGAACGGGTTTCACAATACAAGACACAGTGGCTTTTTTTCAGTTGTTTTTTTTTACTCCATATATGAAAGACAAAAACATAGAAAGTATATACAACTAGAACCGAACAATATATACATATACAGAATGCCTTTAAAATGCTGTGGAGTTGCATCAGTCATAATGCAAAGGATATGTCATGCGTCTCCTCATTGCGATGTTAAAGGCTCTTTCATCGCTTCGCTTGAAACGGATCGCAGAAGTCCCACCTTTGTCCTGGGTTTTGTCATAAAAATGTAGAAATCCCGTGTTATTTGGTATTTAAGATTTGCACTTCTCTTTTTAAAATAAAGTTAAAAAAAAGACTGATAACGCAGGGAACTTCTCTGTGAAGCAGGTCATTTTTTCCCCAAGTTTCCTTCCTTTGGGATTGTCCTTAATGTCGCAGAGAAATGAAAGCCATCCTCAGTGTTCTTTCAAAAAGCTAGATTTTCCTCGGACACCGTGTGATTAAAGCCCATCAGCGTAGCTGGCGGCAATAAGACGGTCTTGAATTTGGGATATCAGAAGGTGGTGGATTGAATGTACAGTAAAGGTCTGGCGGATCAGAAACCTCGAAAGGAGCTTTGGGCCTGCGTTTCCCTCCTCCTTTGAGAGAGAAAAAAAAGCCCCACTACTAGTCGCAATTATTTTTTTTCTTCTTCTGCGAATTCGTTAATCCTCTCGTCTCACATCATCTGCGATCTTTGCATTGTGTCCTGATGTGGGGAAGAGTACCAGTGCGAATACCCAGGCATGTAAGTGTTAGCGGGTACGTTCACTCCTTTGCTGCCCGCCGACACGTCCCATATGGGCGGTATGGCCGGAGACCGGGGCGACAGGGCCATCGAGCCGGGCAAGGGGTCGCTTTCGTGTGGGTTGCCGCCCTGCTTCAGGAGCTTCTTAAACTTGGATCGCTTGTTCTGGAACCAGATTTTCACCTGCAATGCAAACGGAGCAGAAAGCTTAAACCATTTCGGCCGACAACCCAACAACGCCATTATCACGTAAAGGCAGCCATATGAGATCCATTGACAATATAAGTGCAAAAACACCCGGTAACTTACATCTCTCCATCTCTATATTTCGGGTTCGGTGTACCTATCCTATTTATTTTAGATATTTTTTAGTTAATAAAAAAAACAGGAGCAGAAAAAAATGTGAAATCACGATCATATTAATATGTTTTCCTAGAATGCAGATTTCTCGCTCTTGTGGGTACCTTTTGATATTAATGAGGAGAAAATCAAGTTTCACCTTCTAGGATTGCAGTCCTTTGTATCGTACATTTAAATCTCCCATTCGCATTTTTCCCTTAGATGTGACTCTGGGGTTGGCGTTTATTTTTTTCCTGTGCTCAAACATTTCATAATTTCAATTGTTTTGATATCCAACAAATATGAAATGTAATAATTTCATCGCTTTTAAAAATAAAAAGGTTGTATAAGATACCAAAACAAAACAGTTGTATTCTCGTAAGGCCTTAGACACTATGCATATATCCCCTATTAAGCAATTAACATAAAATATATAATCTATCAGAATAGTAGCAATAGTGATAAACTGTAAGGCTAATACATACATGCTGCGGAGGAGAAGTGCTAAAAACTGGAATCAAATTATTTTAAAATGAATAGATTATCGCTTTATAAATCACCTGGTCTCGTCATCATCTTACCTGCGTCTGAGTGAGCCCGAGAGAAGCTGCCAGCTCTGCTCGTTCAGGCAGTGCGAGGTACTGGGTTTGTTGGAATCGGTGATTTAGGGCTTGAAGCTGCAAACTGGAATAAATTGTTCTCGGTTTCCGAATCTTCTTGCCCTTTCCGTTAAAGCGAATTTCTCCATTTTCAATCACTGTCGTTTTCTGCTGTTCTGAACAAAGAAAGAGCAACGTTACTCTGCAGCAGAGGCAACACAAAATGAGCTTTGTCGAGTACAGTTATACTAAATTATAGTATGTTACCGTTTGCTGCGTTACAATGTGTATATGTTTAGAATTCCATGTTAGATTTTCATTAATGCCTTAGTTTTGGGGGGCAACAAATAAAATATAAACTGGCTTTTTTGGAGCCTATTTGTAGCTGCATTACTATATCTACTGTATAATGTTTTTGTGCCGTCTGCGCCGTGTACGCAATATTACAAATACTGTAGTTGTGTTTGGGGTTGCACGTCCCATAATTTAAGGATTACAGGGTTGCCTTAAGCAAATGTTAAACCAGAAGTGTAATGTTATCTCTATTCAAAGTTAACATTGATCTAATTATCCCACGAATGCGCTGCAATGTTTTGTGAAATTGCGTGTAATGACATAGCTTAACTTAAAGTACGTCAATTAAATGCTAATCACATATTTTAAGGAGAACGCGATCCGTGACAGATACAATTGAAACAAAATATCATCGTTGTCTTTGGACCGCATACTCGAGCTGGAGAAAATATACAATGATAAAATGGACGGACAGCGCCAAACTCGGGAAATAAAAGCAAGCTCAACGACGGAGATCAAGGTATTTTACTCCGCGAATGCAACGCTTCCGCCGAGCATGAGCAAAGCGCTATTCCGAGGAGATACCGGTCACAACTTTGCAATCCACCGAGAACACAAAACGTAGTAAAGTAGCGTGGCGGTAGAGAAGTCTGACAGACGGATTCTGAGCTATACGCTGAAGAGCTGCAGCGCATAAATACGTGGGGAAAAAAAACAACAACAATGCGAAAAGAAAACAAAAGCTTACCTGTGTCGTCTAAACGTGTCTGGCCCGTAGTAGTGTTACTGTGGTAAGACGGTAGGTAGGGGCTGTGATGGGAATGGCTCACGTAGGAATAAGGTAGCGGTCTGTTGTAGGAATTCGTACCGGAATACGGGGAGTTATCGTGCTGGTGATGAGAGTGAGATCCGGAATGGAGGCAGTGGAGCGGGTAGTGGCTGGCACCCATAGACGGGGAGCTCTGCTGTGAGTGAGACTGCTGACCAAACTCCATGAAAGCAGACTTGGACGAGTCCTGGGCTTCCAGACCGTCAGCCATCGTAGTCATGGTCATCATCAAATTTTCTGCTTTGAGAGCACTTACCCTCACTCAAGTCCAAATGGGTTCTCTACAGCTAGCCCCTTATTTTTAGTTTTTTTTTTTTCTTCTTCTTCTCAGAGAAGAAATGTTAGGGCCCTTATTAACTCCAAAAATCACCGCTTCTTTTGCTTCTCCAATTCCTACTTGTTTTGGCAGAAGGTGGGCTGGAGTTAAAGCAGAGATTTTAAGGTGGATTCTGTTAAATTTGAGTCCCTGCTTTCAGACTTGATGCAGACACCACAAGTCGAATGGTTTGTCTCCAAAGGGCAGCGCCTTCCGATTGGTCATTCAACCCCCGACGTCATCAGTACTGTGCTTCTACCGGAGACTTCACAGTGAGTTAACCCACCTTATCGGCTCCCGGCGTACCTATAACTAGACATAAGGAAAACAAAAAGATGGGAACCTTTTAAAAAGCTAGGTACCCAGCTATTCACACAGCCAGGCATTAAGTTTATAACTGGATGTTCGCTAATCTGAATGATTGCCAAAATATGATTTTGTTCGTTTTCTCTGTTGTTTCAAATCGATGTTCCAGCTCTGAGATAAAGAACGGGCTGTGATGTAATTTAAAGTGTTCTACACTACGACAGACTCTCCGCTTCTTCCTTAAGACATCACTGGTCTTTTCAATTAAATGGGTCGACTTTTTCCCGTAAGGAGAATCACAACATATCTTGTCAATGTTTTCGTGAAAAGCCCCAATCCCATGAAATGACTATTAATTGGGTGTAATTTTTTTAGTATCCTGGCGAGATTCGCTTTATTCAGTTCAGTGTTTAAAGGTATACATAATAAGAAAACCCCGCGTTTCGGGAGACTGGATACTCAGAGAACTGACAGCAGTGCATTCCCCTATTGAAAACAGAAGCTTCTGTTATACTTTCAAATATATGCAAATTATACATGCGGTTAGCGGTTTGGCAAATCTTGATCGCAATATAAACGATCAATGCAAAGTACCTTCATCCTTTAATAGTCTCTTAATTCACATTTCAGATGATTTTATTTTATTGTCAACACAATTATTTAAAAAATAATGCGGTTTTCATTTACTTTTAAATGATGGGAAGAGGTAATTATGGTCGTAATCAGTTATACACAAATCTCCTCTGATTAACTGCAGCACTTTATTCAAATTGCTGCTATAAAATTCAGAACAATTCGCCTGTAATGATTATGGACTGGGTTTATTTTGGGAGGTGGAATAAAAATGGATATAGCATAAATTATCCGCTAATTATACACTAGTGTCGCCTCAATTATCCTCTTATCAAAAATGGTTGTCTAAATGCAGCGTTTAGTTTCAATTTCCCCCCTTTCTATAACAAGAACTTCATACCTTGCTATTATTATCAGGGTTGTTATTTACTAAGGGATTTAAAACTGCACAGCCAGGCAGAGTAACCATTCCTCAAGGTGGACTGGAGAGAAAGCACTGAAACGTCCAAAGACGGATCAGAAGCGAGTTCATCTTTCATTCTCAAAAAAATAATCTAACCATGATATCTCGGGATGTCGGTTGGCGTATTTCTGAGGACAATCTGGAACAAGGTAGGAACGAAATAAAAACGAGAATGTGTCAATACTCCAGAGTGAACCACCTCTGTTTCTTGTTGAGGAATCAGGTGGGGGGGGAATCATTCTATTAAATCATTCACGTTTTTAAATTAACGGGTATAAATATATGTAAAAGAGACAGACGTGGTCTTAAGTGTTAGTCCACTCTGGTTATGGTTTAGATGGACTTTTTACACTGGATGTTTTTGCTTCAGCAACTCTGAATGGACTAGAAAGATTCCTTGATGCGTCTCCCTTTCTATCTCTAATTCCGTTTCCACACGCGAGAGAGAAACCAGATCCACAGTTCAGCTGATCGGCTTTGAGTGGAACAGACAATACTTCGGGTTCTGCAGCCTGTTTCGATTTCGATGTTTGCTGGGTTAGGAAATAATGGCAATGGTTTAATACTGCTTTAAAGCAACTCAATATATTCCACACCACTTTGACAGTTTTATTGCTTGTGAACATGGGGTATTAAGTATAATAAGAAAGCTTGTTGTCCCGCAGGCAACAGAGATAGGCTAATCTTTCTCAAATTGACACGAGGAGAAGTGAAATCACCGGAGTTTAACAAAGATATTGCCTGTATTTGTCTCCATTACCAATTAAACAAATCACACGGTCAATAATTCAGTAAAACCTCTTGCAAACAATTTCTAAAAAGAAAACCGGGTAACGATTCCCAACATGTACGGTCGATTCCTTTACCCTTTTTAACAGATCTGAATCATTGTGAGGTGAATCGTTTATTGAACTTATTCACACTTTGTGGTGAAACAGGACCTTTTTGAACTAAAATCTGGAAGCCACGTGTATTCCTGACACGGATGTGCAATTACAAACTCGTATTGTCGTGTTGGTTGTTGATTTAGAAACAAAGGGTTTGAATCTATTTCAACAAAAACACATAGCCTATAGTTAGACCTATTTATAAAATATATACACCTATAAAACCTTAACACCTTAAAATAATAGGTAAGTCTCCAACACAAACATGACGTCTGGTTAATACATACTTCAGAGCCGAAAAGTTCAATAACTGCGGAATATAATCTTCCTGACTTGCAAATTGTTTTCATTAAAATTTGTAATAACGTGTAATAAAATTCTTCTGTAAGAGAAACATCAAGAAATCACGATGCGATTTTTTTTTTTGTAGTTGTTGTTCAGAAGCATGGACATATGACGCAGCTGTGTTTTCACTACCGAAATCGCCTCTTCGAGATGTACAGTACAGCACACGGGTTTTTATTAAGTCAAGCCGCAGTCCTGAGAAAGATGCTAAGGTAATTCGAGCTGAAGTGATGAGATCTTTGTTGCTGTATGGATACTTAATAGTCTCTTCTGCTCAGGCCATGCGAAAAAAAATTAAATAAAGTACTATAACTAACGTTTTCAAAAACGTGTTCGACGGCAGAAGCGAGATCAAGTCGCAGTGGCTGCTGCAGGTACAGGCGAGGTGCTGGCGAGGGGTGGGGGAGGGGTGTGTAGGGCTGGGGGATCTGTGGAGAATCAGTGCAGATAACAGCGTGACAGGTGCATGCATTATTTAATTGCGCGGTAGCTGTGGCGTGAGGTGTTAATATTCTCTCTTTCTTCCCCTTAGTTACAAAGCGACGAATCCTACCTAGGGCAACATCCAAAAGAAAAATTATTGTAGATATTTCTACGGCTTTATACACTGTATACACAACCCTAGGCTCACGTTTGTAATGACATTAGCCAAACATTCGTTTTTTTCTTTGTATGAAAAAAAATGCTCTAATAATCGTTGTGCAAATATCTGACTTTTAGAGTTCTTTCTCTTTGCTCAAAACAAAATAAAAGTTCTATGTATTCATTTTCTGTCAAAAATGATACAAGATATGAAAAACACAGGCATGTCGACATTTTTTTGTTGTGTATAATTTATCTGCTAGGACGTTTCTAATATTTTCCTGAGCTAACGCAATTTAATAATTAGACGTTTTGTGGTGGTATCATGTGATGGCAGTGTAAAGCTTTTTATGTGTCAATTTTGAACATCAATTTGCCGATTTTTATTATTGAAGACCTCCTGTTCTTTTTCTTTGAAAATATACTTGTTTTGTACAAATATTGAAATCAAATGAATTGAATCAAAGACAGAAGACACAAGAGAGACATTATTAGCAAAACTAGCAATATATATGAATAGTGCTCATCCTTTCCAAAGCAGTATAATATAATCAATGCTACAGTAAGTTGGCTTTTGCTAGCCGGACAGATCTGCGGTATGAAAATGAAATGTTGCAGAATTGTTTGCTGTTGTCTAACAACACGTGCCAGTGGTAGAAGTATCTAAATATTAGTTTTGTCGACGACCGTTTATAGTAAGGCCCAAGTCCAAGATTACAGATACAGCTGTGTATTTGTATACAGGTTGCTTTCCTTTGGGTTTGGTACAGTATTTGTACCATATTGTATTTCACGCATAGGACACTACCTCAGATGCAAAGTTGGTTATTTTAAGCACGACCCTTAAAAAACATGCGACATTCTCTTTAAATTGTTCATTGGCGTATTTTTTGTACAAAACGTCGTAAGTCCCCTGCGTCTGATGAACAAAGTGTCTCGGAAATGTCAAGTTATCTTTGTGTGCGATGTATTTTTTTAATTTTCTCATATATTAGTGTAAATATATATTCAAATCAAGAACCTGGTATGGGTGATATAGTTCTGAAAGATATGGATAACGATAAGGCTTTGTGAGGCAGTAAAATAATTCTACCAAATAAGAAATCTCTAAATGTAGGAGGACTTGAAAGAAACAGGAACCTCCTTAGTTTGGGCATTTGCCGGTAAACTTTGATTGTTGCATTAGTGGATATACGAAAGTCTAACATTTGATTCATGATTAATTGCAGATGAATATACTGTCATTTGCGGTGTTTTTTTATTGAATGTCATGGCATATTTTAAGCAGACCGTGTTACGCCTGTAAAAGATTGGAAGATATATATATATATTCTGGTAATTTACTTGGTTACTTGTAAATACTTTTGGTGTTAAAATGTGAAAAAACAAAGGTTAATTAACATGACAATGTCGATTATGTTATTGTCATTTCCTCCCAGCTGTTTTGGGGGGAAAATGTAGTTGTTACAGACGTCATTTCAAATAATTTAGAAGATCAGCATGAATGTTTCGCGCATTTATTCTTTAACATAGCATAACGAAAACTATTATACATGTTAAGTTTGCATTTCATCTGTGTATCACCGCTGTCAATGAAATGGAAGACGTCCGCGGTTTAAACGTTTTGATAAACATGGGTTTGAAGAAAAGGGTTCGATTTTGTTCTTTTTATCTGTTTACCTGAAATAAAAATGTGTCGTTTCAATCAATAATTGACGCTATACCATAGACATGCAGACTGCAACCTTTGTCTATCTATCCCACATTCCTACATCTGCTAATCACATTGGAAGCTTGACATGGAGCGTCTACAAAACGAATGTTTCTTCCAAGTGCCTGAAATTTAGTGGTAATTTTCTTAACAGCTATTGACTGGATTGCCTGGGAAGCTTCCTCCTCGAATCTGGAGCTGTGTTTTCGGGAGAAGTTGGGGTGTTGTAACTTGCCAGTCCAGTAGAAAAAGTGAAAAGTGGCTTTTCTCCTGAGTTCAAACCCACCAGAGCTTTACAGACATACAGGCGTCGATGGCTTTCCATCCCAACAGTGTGAAGGAAGTGGCGAGGGAAAATGACTGCAGATGGATCACACACGCAGCTTTCAATTTTGTACACGGGTCAACTTAATAAAACTCAGAAGGAGAGCATCCGCAAACAGCTAGCCACTGTCTCTTGTACAGATTAGCAAATGCAACTCAGATCTAATTCAAACCTTACACGCACATTAATTTATCACACCACCCGCGCGAATTTTAATTCTAAAGTTTCCGCACTGGAAATAGAAATGGAATACTGTATATAGGGACTCTTCAGCTCATTTGAAAACGTGTCGGATTCTCATGCCACAGAGGTACCTCTCTGTTTTCTTTTAATTAAATTTTTTAAGAATCATAAACATATTTGGTTTTCCAGCCAGGATCGAGCAGATGATATTTAGCAATTCGCTAATGTTCATATCTGGCTGAAGTCTGATAATTTCCTGGCGTGTCTGAACTTCAGATCACAGCTGAGTGCCAGAAAAGTTACACTCTTTCGGCGTACATTTTAATAAGTCCCATCTCTGAAGACGGAAAATGTTTAATGTCTCCCGGTGCTATTATAATACAGAAACCCAGCCACAACACAGGAACATAGGAGAAAGTATTGAGTTTTAATTCGGGGACCGATTATGTGCGGATTTTGTTTAAAACTGAAAAGTGTTGAGAGATGAGTTTAATGTTCGTAGGGTTTTAATAATAAATTTAGGAAAATATAAACGTTTTACTCGAAAATTAATAGTACATTTTAAACTACTGCTATAATGAAAAACATCATACAATGTTCAAATAGTGTCTCTATGTTTGTCTTAATTTGGCATCGAATTCTAGCCCCCTGCTGTCCAATCAGAATAGACGAAGTGAAGATCATGTAAAGAATAGTGGTGGGTCACCGTGTCCTGCAAATATATTTCCTCGACTTCTGAGATACTCACACCATCTCTACTTTACAAATTAACCCGAAGGGTGTTTATGAGAAGGTGTTGCTATACAGCAACTGAAAGAGTCTTGTTTTGCGTTAATATCGCCAGACTCGGTATAGGGCTGACGCAGGCGGGGCATGATATAACGCGGTTCAAATGCTGAACATTTATATTATCTGTGGAAAGATCGAATTTTCCCATCCATCTTTGGGTTGATCTGACATCCGTATAGTTCTCTTCCCGAAATGACAGCTGTTGTGGGTTTGGGGTGGGTGGGTGAGTGGTTTTGGGTAAGGGATGTGTCGAAGCTTATTCACAATACTAATACCGTTTCATTAATATGCATCACATACTTTATCAGATCTTTAATTGGGTTTTTT